GAGAGGGGGAAGGATGGAATGAAACCAAATCCGACAATGAGGTTTGGGGGCTGGATGCCTGGAATGAAAATGATGCCGGGAACACGGAATACAGAGGAGAAAGAATACATCTAGAAGGATGAGCAGTGGCAGGTTAATTAGTTCATTTGGGGCCTGTGGATTTAGGTGCAAATAAGTGCCCAAGGATACGTCTTCACACAGCCCGGGGGATTCTGCCCAACTTTCTGAAATCTGCAGAAGCCACATGACTGAATCCACAGCAAGACATTTCGGAATGAACCTGAGGCTGTTTTTCATAAATTGGCAACATTTCTCAACAAAAGCGAGGCCGTGTCATCGAATCGGTCTGCGTGGCTTTTTGCCATCTCTTTGAGACATCTTTTTGTCCCCGAGAGAGGCAGGGCAGGGACTTCAGTGGCAGATGGTTGTGTGCCTTGGCAGCTTCTCTTCTTGAAAGACAAATAGGCCACTGCGTAGAAATGAACAGCCACAGTCACAGAAGGGGAGGACGGCGCTTTTCTTCTCCCGTCGGGCACCCTTGTTGACAGAGTTGAGTTCATCGGGGTTAGACGTCTAGCTGTAGAATGTCACAGAATGTATAGAATGGTGGTGTGTAGGTGCCCAAGGTCACAGAGCTCGTAAATGATACAGACAACCTTATTTAATGCTCACTGTGTGCTAGGCACAGTTATAAGCACTTTACCCAAACTATTTACTATTATGCTCCTTTCACAGATGAGGCCATCTAGGCACAGAGAGGTTAAGTAACTTATTCAAGGTCACACAGCTAGGAAGTGATGCAAACCCAAATTTTCCAGCTCCCAAGTCCTTCCCCCTTAACCATGATCACCTACTGCTCTCAAGAGTAGATTTCTTCACTACAAGGTCATCCTGCAGAGCAAGGAGATATTTTCTTGGAAGGAACTTTTCAATACTACAGTTCTACTATTATTCATTTAGTCATTTAGTCCCCTCTCCAGGGGTGGTAATCTGCCCCTGAACTGCTTTTGCCTCTGTTTCCCCAATTCCAGTCTTCCGTGTGTATGACAGCCAGTGTCAGGGCCAAAGAGATAGCGGCAGATAAACTGGATGATTCATTGGCTCAGATAAGATCCCCAGGCCAGTAAGTGTCCTCTGACAGGCTGGCGACACCACCACTCATCACGTGGATGGACGGGATCTTTCCTGGCCTCTGATTTCTTCCCGAGGCCCTCGCACCTGAGGCCTGTGAGCAGGGGGAGCCCAAGTCTACTGTTCAGCCAGAGCCGGCTCAGCTACCCCGGCGCTCTGCAGGCAGCGACCACGGATGGTTCTGCCACTTTCCTTCCTCCTGTGGGCTTGTCTGGACACGGTCATATCCGTGAGTCTCGCCCTGAAGGACCCCTCAGTCCCTCAGAAGACAAGCACAGAGACTCGCCCCGCCCGGTAACTGAGCGTGTGACGTGCGCTGGAATGCACGCGGGGAGCAGTTGCTCTGCCGGGGACCCGAGGAGGAGCAGGGTGGGAGGGGGGCAGAGACGCGGAAGGAAGGTGAACAAGTCTGCAGAGGTGACGCTGAAAGACTCTGGGCCTTGAAGAGTAAGCAGGACTCAGCCAGGGCAAGCGAAGGGAGATGGCTTTCCAGGCACGCGAGAATAGAATTGTCTGAGAACAAAAAATAATGTGGCGTGATGCAAACAGAGAAAGCAAAGTGAAGGGACGGGAGACTGAACGGTAGCGGGGGGCTCGTCCGGGGGTGTCCTGGGCCACTCCCCACAGTGTGGAACTTGGGCAGGAGACACATGGAGCTGTCAGCTATTTTGGAAGAGGAGAGGGTCGTGCACAGAGCTAGAAGAGGGTTCTCGTACCAAGTGGAGGATGAAACGGAGACCGAGAGTCAGTTAAGATTAAAATAATAATTATTATTGTTAAAGGAATGTGAACCAAGACTGTGGTTCAGGCTTTTCAAATGACGTAGCTCCCTGAGCTGGGACTCTCTGCTGTGGGAGCCCCTGTTCCTGAAAAGAGAGCATGATATGTCTCCGGTGTGAGTCCAAAAAGGAGGGAAACTTCTGCCCCTGGGAGCCGCCACACAGCTCCAGCTCCGGGTCAGAGAAGCGATGGAAGCAGGGCACTAGCTGGAAGCGACTACGAAAAGGCGCAGTGGAGAAATGTCGAGAAAAGAAGAAAATTCAGCCGTGGAACGAGCTTGCTCTCTGAGCTCCAGGCCAGACAGTGGGGGGCGTGGGAGGCAGCTGCCTTCACCTGCCGGGTGCTCTGATCCTCAGTGGCCAAAGGGGGGACCCCAGGTGGAATGAGCCTGGTCACTCGCAGGGGCACCCACGCCCCCACCTGCTGTCTCTGTGTACAAAGAAAAGTTGCATGTCGGCCGGGCGCGGTGGCTCACACCTGTAATCCTAGCTCTCTGGGAGGCCGAGGCGGGCGGATTATTTGAGCTCAAGAGTTCGAGACCAGCCTGAGCAAGAGCGAGACCCCGTCTCTACTAAAAATAGAAAGAAATTAATTGGACAACTAAAAATATATAGAAAAAAAACTAGCCGGGCATGGTGGCGCATGCCTGTAGTCCCAGCTACTCGGGAGGCTGAGGCAGGAGCATCGCTTGAGCCCAGGAGTTTGAGGTTGCTGTGAGCTAGGCTGACGCCACGGCACTCTAGCCTGGGCAACAGTGAGACTCTGTCTCAAAAAAAAAAGAAGAAAAGTTGCGTGTTATAGATTCTGCTTTTTGTTTTGTAAATTCAGTGTCATCCTGGAGTCTAGGAAACAACGCCCAGGAACACAAGCTGTGCTGCCCGTGCTCTGGGCCTGTCGTGGAGTGTCATTCTCTTTTTTGATTTGTGTATTTTAGGGCCAACTCTGTGACGTGGAATCCGCACAAGATGATGGGAGTCCCCTTGCAGTGCTCCGCTCTCCTGGTTAGAGAAGAGGTATGTCTGTCCCCACTCTGCGTCCCAGGCCATCGGTGGGATTTCGCTGTCATTGTACAGTTGACTTTCTCTTGAAATGTCAACGTCACTAGGTCTCCCCTCCTGGCTTGCTCGCATTCCCCAGCGAGCCGTCTTCTGAACTCCTGTCTGGAGGGTAAAGGTCTGCCTAGAGGGGAAAACAGACTTAGGACATCCCAACTTTCGGAATATAAACTTTGACCTAATCTCCATGTTTTCAATAAGACACTTCTTTCCTCAAATAGACGTGGTGTCCCCTAATCCAGAGTCCCTCTAGGTTACCCTCTCAAAACATTAAATTTCCAGTTTTTTTCTGGAATATGAGAAGGGATAGTTTTTAATATATTAAAAAAAAGTTCGTGATATAAGATTAAGGTTAGCGTTAGAATTCAGACACATATATATATGTATGTGTGTGTATGGTATATCTCGTAGTTACAGTCTAGTCTATTCAATAGTTAAAGCCATGTCCAGAATATAAGGAATCTGCATATGTATTAGCCAGCAAATAGAAGAATGAACAAAGGCACTTCCATTCATGATAATTGCTGTTAACAAGGCCTAAGGCTGTTCCCTGCAGGTGTCCTCTCTTGGTCAGGCCTCTGTGTGTCCCTGTGACGCCAGGTCAGAGCCACACACCCTCTCTGCTACATTGGTTTAGTTGATGAGACTCAAATAAAGACCTTCAGCTTATCCCTTTTAAATTTTACCTCCTTACCATTAATAAAGCAACCCCAGATCAAAGGGATTTTTTGATATTTACTTTAAAAATATTTTGCTTTTTCCTAATTATAAAGGTAACACATAATTATTTTAGAAAATTTGGGCAGAACAGAAGATATAAATAAATTTAGAGTCACCCCAAATTCTACCACTTAGAGATAAACATTATTACTGATATTTAATATTTTCTCCCACCTTTTTCTAGGAATATATAAAATATGTAAATAAATACATATTTAAAATAAAATTGCTATCATCCAAGTCATATACACATGTTTATTCTTTTTCATACTTAACATTATATTGTGAGCATGATCTTCCAAAACATGACTTTTAGTGGCCTTATATTATTCTGTCACATAATTGAATGAATCATATCCCTAGGGTTAAAATACTAACCAATATTTTACGTAGTGGCTTGATAAAATTTTTAAACACATATCTTTGATCACATTCCTGATTATTTTCTTAAAGTAGA